AATCAGCATTGAGTCCCGTTTGCCGCGCGTTCCCGGCAACCGCGTCTCGTGGCGCAGTCCGGACTTGACGACGACGACGTAAGGGATCTGCGGTGCCTCTTTGGTGGTTGCTGTAAACTTGCCGGCGTATATCCGCGCAATGTTGTTCCGACGAGCGCCGACGCCGACTGACACGTACTCGTGCTCTGGCGGGAACTTGTCGCCGCATCCAAGAATCCCGGTAACGGCCGTTGCGGTATCGCGGTAAGATCCCGGCTGCACGGCCAAACCATCGACAACAACAAAGAGCAGTTTCCGATCGGAAGCATAGTCACTGCTGACCGCTGATTCAATCGACTTCTGGATGGTCACTGCTTCCTCGTTGTACACTGGGATAAAGATTACATTGAAAGGCGTTGACGGCCCGCCAACTTTGCCGCGTGACAATTTGTATCCCTGCGAAAGGGTCATTGAGATCTTGATGACGTATACCAGGTACACGTACCCTCCGATGGCGAGCATGATGGGGTTCATGCGCGACACGCTCGGCGGTATCGCCTCGTCGAGCACCCCCGCAAACATGAGCTTGTTCATGACGCGGATGCGCTGCGCGCGGTTCGGCATGCGATCGAACTCTGCCGTCGCATCGCCTCCGAGGTTAGCCAGGAGGGCTGTGGTCATGTCTGCCGGCAGAAACATGGTGGAGGTATTGAACGTTGAGCTGAGACCCTGCTCCGATCTAGGCCCGTCGATGACCGTCCCGTTGATTGACACGGTGCCATTGTTGTTGATGTCGTAACTGTTTGAGCCCCACCCCGTCGCTATCCGAAGGTACCAGGTGACGTCGTAAACGAACGAGTCGATCACTACCAGAGCCTTTGTTGTGGCCAAGTTGTTGTTTTCGTATTGGATTGTCTCCCGGTCGTGCATGATATCTAAAAGCACAGTGCGTTAGCATTTTCAGGGCGGCAACGACCGGTGATGTGAGAGGAGCAAGTTGTACACATACATCCGATGGCATTCTCATCCACTAATGGCAATGCGCTTGTCGTAAAGCACTGGCAAGACTTTTCCTCGGCGCCGACAGGAGACGGGCAACGGTCCAATCTTCTTCTGGTCGCATTAACGCCGTAACCATCATCGATGGCGAGACGAGCGGTCAACCAGTTGTCTGCGGCATCGCCCTGTGCACCCACGACATCCATGATATCAGGATCGACGAACCGATCGGTTGTGTTGGGTGGATGGGCCAGAAGCGGGAAGGTGGGGAACAACGGGGATACATCGAGTCCCTTGTATTCTTCAATTTCGGCCTTGATTTCAGCGGCCAATGGGGACTGGGCAGTAGAAAAATCTGCTACTCGTCCTTGCACGCCCACGTACTGCGTCTGTTGCAGATCCGAGAGCGTGAAATCGGTGTCGGCTGGTGCGAGAAGCGAGCCGAGAAAGTCGACGACAAAGATGAAGATGCCGGATATGAGAAGGACCAAGCTAAAAATCACAACCTTTTCGCGCCAGGCTTGCCTGGTTTGCGGAGTGCGCATGCCACAGACTCTCAGAAGAGCGTCCGGGAGTGGGAACGTGATGACACGGGCAAACTTGGAAAAGACGCTGCTGGTGTTGATCCATGACGACGGTTGTCGGCTGAGCGTCGACAGGGGTTCCTCCCAGGTAGCGCCCGAACTCCGCACGCTGCCTTCGCGGGCCAAGATGGTTGGGTCGATAGCCATCGGATTGTCCTTGGCTCCGCCGGACAACTTTCGCTTCCTGGACTGTGAAGAGTCCCGCACGGACGACGGACGATAGGAACTGGTGTGGTTGCTATTGTTGGTGTAAGTGTTGCTGTTGCTGGTGGTGGTGATGTTGTTGATACTGTTGCTGGGAGATGATAAAGATGCTAGTGACGAGGGTGAACTGGTGATAGTTGTGGTGGTGTAGAGGTTGGCGTTGTCTTGGTTTCGTAGCGGAAGACCGTATTCAGTCAAGAGCTGCTCGTCGGTGGGCGGGGTTCGTCTTCCTCCTCCTCCTCCTCCTCCTCCTCCTCCTTGAGAAGCGTCGCTACCCATCCTCAGTGTGAATCAACAAAGGACTATGTGCCTTTGCCAATACGAAAGAAAAAAAGAGGACTTGTAACTAACTCACGAACTAGCAGGTACTGACCAACAAACTTGGTGATGATAAATAACTTGGGAAGTAATACAGTAGTGGGAGTAAGCGGCTGGAGATGGAAAGGATGATGTTTAGTTGTACAGTCCATGCGCGTACAAAGCCAGCCGACGACCAACCGACTCACTCACTCACCAACCCCACAGACAGGACGGACGGCTCAGAGTCCAGTCAATGCTGCGATTGTGACTGTGACTGTGACTGTGACTGTGACTGTGACTGTAAGTGTGACTAGGAGGGAGGCGCCTGTGAATTCAAAAGTAATAATTTCCGCTTTGTTGACTCAGGGCCTCAGGGGAGAGGAATTAATTGTCTCGCGTTTCAGATTCCACCTTTCCCGTTTACTGACAGGCTGACTGACTGAAACACGGAGAGGGGGGGTGCCGCGGACCTTCAACCGTTTCACATTTACGTCAGCAAAAACAAACCCAACCGCGTCAACCAACTTTAAATGTCTGCCCCACTGGGGATACGGGCCACGCGAGTTATTACCTAACTAATGGCTCAGGTTAATTAGTTCCAAGTACTTCCCAAAGTATATTTATTGCAACGACGCCAAATCAACCGAGCAAGCGGCACGCATACATGTGATCAAACAGGGATGCAACGTTGATGTCTGTGTCTAATGATAACCATGTACATGTCATTAGTTATAAATCGGATTTGGTTGTGCGGCTGGGAAGAATTAAGTTGTCCCGTCTTCCTAAAAGCTTAGCGCGGAGCACGACTGTTGACGCTCACGCGACTGCTTCACAAATAATTCTACCTACTCAATCCTGACAAAAGGGCGAGCGATCCCACCAGGGATCGAACCTGGAATCTCGCGCTTCGTAGGCGCGCGCCTTGACCATTGGGCCATGGGACCGGATGACTCATTAGTGAGGCTAACGCCACAAGTCGCCACACTGTAACTTGAGGCTCCCGCCTCCTTTTGAGTGATGGCTTCACTGGGGCCGCCGAATGGCGGACAAGTGTTGCCAGCGGAACTTGTCGGCGTTGCGCACTCCAGGCGTTGTGAGTAGATCGTAAGTTGTCACACTGAAGGCCTCATTATATAGAGGACATTGGTGGGGGACATTCGTAGCAGTTCAGTCTTTTCATGACTACACGCTCGCGGCAAAAATAAAACGCTTGCGCGCATACATTCAATCAGCTGTTTGCGGGGGGGCAATAAGAAACGTGGGGGTGATATATACAATTTATTGAAAACGGCCAGTAGTAGATACAAAAGATGAAAATGAGGTGTGTCGTAAAAATGCTTCAGATAGCGGGTATATGCACAGTCCGCCAGGGAAGTGAGTAACGTGGGGGGGGGATCTCTGTTGTTGGATTGGAGTTGAGGCGTATGTTCCCGAGTGGAGGGGCCCAATGCTCTAGTGGCAAAGCAAGGCAGGTCCCTCCTGGTTTATCCAGTCATTTCGCGATCGCAGGATCGAGAGAGTAGTGGAGTGAGCGGCGGTCGGGAATGCCGACGCCGGCAGCGCCAGGTCGCGTTCCATGTCGAACCGGGTTTCTTCGAGGTGCTGGTGCTCCTCAGCGTCGTCCTCGGTGTTTCGGACTTTGACCACCCAGTTGGCAATGTTGGCGACGAGGAAGAGCGAAAAGGTTACAGCAGACATGATGACGGATAATGTGTGGGCTAGCTTGTGTAGGGGAGTGCGACAAGAAGAATGAGAATGCTTGTGGATTATCTAGCAAACGCTGATGTGATGTTTGGTATTGGCGAGAGGGACGTTTGCCTAGACCAACTCTCATTTATAGATCCCTGCGGGATGCGGCATATCTTTTCATCTTTTTTCTTTTTTTTTCCTTTTGCGCAATCGTGGTTTTTGGGAAATGCGCTGAGTCAGAGCCAAGATTGCGCCCAATGTAGATAGATTATCGCAACCCGCTCGTCCCGCTTTGCGTTTTTTTTTCTAATTTTTATTTCGATTTCCGATTTTGTATCGAAACATCCCTAATAATTCCTATCCGCAGCAGGGAGATGTCGGGTAGTGCGACTCCCGCGCGGGTTCTACCGGAAGCCACTCACAACATCCAGCGACTGCGCAACGCGTTGTTGGCGTCGTAACACGGAGATAGACACCAACACACTTCGAAAATCAAAAAGAAAGGACAAAAGCCACACATGGCTGCACCACTGTCCCAGTCTCGGATAATGCAATCGAAGGGACCAATCGTTGCCGTCGCCTGCCGACCGTGGGGAACACACGACAAATTGCGTTCTGCGCAGCAGCTGTTGACGTGAAGTTGCGATATCCTAATCGTGACTATCGCCAACCGCCGCGCAACCCGCTTCTTTCAAGCTGGGCATCGTGGAGTATGCGACTCGTACTGACAGAATAAAAGTAAACAAAACACAATCTCGGGGTTGCTCAGCTCACGGTCATGAAAAAATTGCAAAAAGCGATCCCACCAGGGATCGAACCTGGAATCTCGCGCTTCGTAGGCGCGCGCCTTGACCATTGGGCCATGGGACCGTTGATGTGCGAGCGAGTTCTTGACCTATATTTTCGAACACTATTTCGCCTGCTTCCCATTTCGTATTGCGATGACTATTTGCGAGCTAGTCTGCTATGGGATGCAAATATATATGAGGATTGGGAAAGGTGATGATGTATATCAACAACCCGCATGGCCCAATGGCAGGCCATTGGACTTGTAGGGATGTGAGCATAAGACATCTGTAGGTCAGCAGTCCTGAATATAGATTGCACACAATTCACCCCCTAGCGATATGCGCGACACTTGCACACAATTTACTGCAGGAAGGCTTCTAGCCATCTGATGTGAGCATCTGGTGGTTCAGGCAAGCGCAGGAAAAGAGCAAAAAAAAAAAAAAAAGAAGAAGATCACACCCACGGCCGGACTCGAACCGGCAACCCCTGGATTAGAAGTCCAATGCCCTGCCATTGGGCCACGCGGGTGCTTGATACACATTATCGTCTTTCCCAATCCTCATATATAGTTGCATCCCGTAGCAGACTAGCTCGCAAATAGTCATCGCAATACGAAATGGGAAGCAGGCAAAATAGTTTTCGGAAATATATCGCTTTCACATCATCACCTTGCCCAATTCTCATATATATAGTACACTGAGTCGCACATAGTCGCTTCGATGGGAACCCGTCCGCAATAAAACATGGGACGCTGACAAAGTACGTTCCAAGAAAATAATAACTTCAGAAATCATATAGTTACTCATAGGAGGGACAGTTTACACCCGGAGGACGAGTAGTTCGTAGTAACGTCATAAACGCACGGGTAGCGTATCGAGCCGGCTCGCGGTTGCGGCTCCACCGGCGCAGGATTCTGAAGCTGTTTTCCCCTTGCAAACAAAGATCGCGACAAGTCCCTCTTTCCTCTCCGTTCTGCCTCCAGCATCGTTTGAGCGCTGGCCAAACTGCATATAAAGTCACATCCTTGCTGCGCAGTTACGCGCTCGCGTTAAGTCAACTGAGGCTTGTGCAAAGTCGCACCTCTGGAAAAGGAACAGTCCAGTCACAGCACCCGACGTTCGTTCGAATGTCTCGCCCATCAAGCGGGTCCTTCCCGCGATCCCGTCTCTCCCTCTCTGCTCAAGGCAAAGCTTCTACGGGGCCATTCCACCTCGAAGAGTTGCTCTTTGTCGACACATTTACTCGAGAATTACCAGGAGACCCGCTAACACAACCTGCCCAACCACCCCTTTTAGGCGGACCACCGGCGGCGGGTCGACCTTCGTCCGCGACCCTCGCCCGACAGACCGAAGACAGCCACGCTGGCGGCGCGGCCCCATCAACCAATCCTGCGAGAACAGCCCGTGCGGTTCGTGGAGCATGCTACTCCCTCGTGACGCCGGATAATGGGTGCACACATCCACTGTACATTGCGTCCTCACCTTCTGCGATTGAGCTGCTGGGGATTGACAGGGAAGAACCACAGCGCCGTGAATTCGGCCAGTTTCTTAGTGGTGCTCGGACTTTACCCCGTGCGCATCCCTGGGCAGCCATCTACGGCGGACACCAGTTTGGATGCTATGCCGGGCAGTTAGGCGATGGGCGGTGTGTCTCCATAGGCGAGGTCTTGCCACCACCACCCCCATCAGCATCACAACCAGCACCGGGTGCGTCCACTAGCTCAGATATCAGCACGACCCACTGGGACATTCAACTGAAAGGCGCAGGGTTAACCCCGTATTCGCGGTTCGGGGACGGTCTCACCACCCTTGGCTCTTGTGTCCGTGAATTTGTCGCGGCCGAATACATGCATTCGATTGGCATTCCCACCACGCGTGCCTTGGCGGTAGTTGCTACCCAGGTTCCTGTCTATCGAGGTGCGAATGGCGACATCTTTCACGGCGCCGTTCTCACCAGGCTCAGCCCGTCATGGATCCGCTTTGGCAGTTTTGAGCTGTTCCATTACCGGAATGATAAAGAGCGTGTGAAACTGTTGGCGGACTATGTCATCAAATATCATTTTGCGGATCTGTTGCAGCCTCCGGGTGATGATGAGGCTGACAACCTGAGCGCAAGATCGATGATACTTGGTGGCAGTAAGCCCGAGGGGGCTCAAAGTCAGAATTCTGAATTTGATGCGCGAGCTCGAAAGACGTCACTGGCAGTTGGCGAGGAGACTGGCGCTGCACGGCCACGCAAGGCATCAGTTGCATTTGGCAGCGAGATCGCAAAAGACGAAAAAAGTGACCGCCAGCACAGTCCCCCAATGATCCGCGAGGATTCCATAGGTAGCATCGTCTCAGATGAAGACACAACAGCAGACAAAGGAGCGGGGCGCATTAAATCTGACAGTGATGACGACCAAGCGGCTAATAAGGATTCAGACGACGACGATGAAGACGACGTGCTAGACGATATGAAGAACAGCCCCCTGCTACCCGCAGCACGCCGTCCCACCGCCCGGCGACTCTCCTTTATGCTACAATCATTCCCAACGCAAGAAGGAGCGCCGAAAGAGGAATCAACCGCGGACACTACAGCAAAGTCACCACCTCAACCGCAGTCTATGATTCCCGAAACAGTGTTGGTTGATGTCGAGTTGAATGTCTACGCGCGGTTCTTTCAGGAAGTCATCAGGCGGACCGCGGAGCTTGTAGCAGCCTGGCAGGCCATTGGCTTTGTGCATGGCGCTCTCAACACTGTATGTGATTGGACTTGGCAGAATGTGGATCCTTACACCAGACAGAGTGGCTAAGGACAGGCTTGCGATGTTTTTCTCATAGGACAACATGTCCATTCTGGGAATAACGCTGAATTACGGCGCATTTGTAAGTGCGAACAGTTGAGTGCCAGATGTCCATTCCCTGGTAGGCTCACCCAACGACGCACTCAGGGCTTCCTCGACAGATACGATCCATATTGGACGTCCAATCCAGCCGGTATGCACCCATTCACCCACGGCCCTGCCTTTTCCCCTTGCGATTCTCTAACCCTGAAGCCTTCTGAACCTTGCAGACAGAATGGGCCGCTATCGCTTCGAACACCAGCCTAAAATCGCACTCTGGAATCTCAGCAAGCTCGGCCGCACTCTCGCTGCCTTGATCGCACCGCCACCGCCCGCTTCCTTGCCCCCGAGCCGCGGCGGCGGATCTCTTGTTGCTGCCCATGTTGTACGCGGAGAGGAAATTGTCAGGGAGCTCCTCAAGGGTTTTGAGGACTTGTTCATTGAGAGTTATACCCGGATTATGCGTTCGGTAAGCAGGACATGACAAAAAAAATGCGGAGCAAAAAACGATGTGATTGATAATGTCCAGATGCTAATATTCCTTTCCGATTCTTTGCGTCACTCAGAAATTAGGGCTTAGAACCGAACAGGCCACAGATCTCACCGAAATCATCGAACCCCTACTCCAACTGCTCGCCGACGCCGGCGCCGACTACACGCTCTTCTTCCGCGGTCTATGTGAGTTCGACGACGACGAAGGGGATGGCGACGCTATCGATGAGAGCGCCACCCCGGGCCCCAACTGTCTTGCTGTACTGATCCGCGGCGTGGAGCGGCTGGAGGGCGACGATGATCCTGCTGCGGATGGGTCCGATGAGGTTGGTGGCCATACGGGCGGAGCACCGGAATTGGCGGGGGAGATTGGAACCCTTGCGGCGAGCATGAGTGGGGCGTTTGGGATTGTGGATCGGGAGGTGACGGGGGTTGGCGAGTGGACGAAAGGGCAGAGTCTGGAACAGGTCGGAACTGAAGAAGATATTGACAAAGCTAAGGAGGATAACAACACAAAAGACAGCGATGTCGGTGATAGGAACGCGAATGTTGATGATGCTGATGTTGAAGAGCAGAGTCTGGGCAGCACCGATGACATCAAAACCACCGTGGAGAACCACGAGGAAAATAGGGACAGCACCAGCAGCAATGCAAACATCAACGACAGTCCACAGAACGATGACAACAGGTCCAACAGTGTCGCCAACAGCGAAGAAGCCAGCGAGGAACAGAACAAGCCCGGCACAGAATCCAACGAGAACGACCCACCTCTCCCCTCTGACATTACTACCAGCCGTCACAACCGCAAAAGCTTGCGGAGCAGCACCACCTCCTTTGGCCGCACCGGCAGCACCCGAACTAGCAGCTCCTCCCTCGGCACCTTCAAAGCCGAGATCCGGTCCCGCTGGGAAGACTGGAGCGATGCCTATCGAGCACGCCTGGAGGACGACGTTCCACATCACGCTTCTTCTTCTTCTTCATCCACCACACGCCGACAGCGCATGTCCCGCGCAAACCCGCCGTTCATACCCCGGTCGCATGTCCTCAACACTCTGGCAGCGGCGGTTGCTGCGCGATTACCGGAACCGGATAATCGCCACCCGATTCGTCGCGCGGGGTTGGCGCAGCCGGACCCGGATTTGGATAGAGCGCTCAAAATACTCTGTCGTACCCGCGCCGTCAACCCGGAGGATAAGGAAGACGAAAGATGGAGGAGACTGTGGGCGTCCGAACCTCCGATACAGTAGCGTGTCGGAGCAGCACTGGAATTTCAATTATCCAACCCCGTGTTCATGAGCACTCCGGGCTCATACGCACGGGCCGAAGCAGTCTTGCTCTTCAGTCCATCAAATATTTTCCTCCTCATTCATCACATAATTAGATGTTGCTGGGTTGGACCCTTAGAAACTGCCAAATGATATAACGAAATATATTGTCGCCGTGTGCTCGAGCGAGTTAACATGGGTGATTCCAAAGTCTGATTTTTACAAAAGATTCACAATGCGTAATACAGAGAGCGAGTCCAGTCAAAGGTCTTTCCTACGGCAAGCTACAAAACTGATCCACCAACTGCTCCAACTGCGTTCGATGACGCAGGCCAGCCACCCAGTGCTCGGGCAGTTCTTTGTACCCAACACGACAACCCAGCAACGCGCCAGCCACACAAGCATTCGTATCGGCATCACCACCTTCTAGCACCAATTCCGTAATCAAGCTCACAAACGCCTCAGCGGGACACTCAAAATGCGCGTCAATGTCCCGCGTAAAGAGGTACGTTGCTGCCCCGAGTGCTTTGAACGTGTATCCGATTCCGCCAGAGGACAGATTTAGCGAGGAGAGGGAAGACGGGAATGCGTGCTGGAGGAAATCGGTTGTTGCTGACGATGGTTCGAATGTGTGTGGAGAGGAAGGCGTCCAGGGAGCTGGGGCGGATGCGCCGGGTTGCAGCAGAAATTTGTATTGGTTGACGACGGTGGTGAGAAGAGCCATGGAGCTAACGTCTGCGCCAAGGTCATCCATGCACTTGATGGTAGAGGGATCAAGAGGCGCCGCGGGGCGATCGAAAAGGATTGAGAGAGTGCGCTCATCTCGGAAGTCCGTCGTGTCTCCTTCTCCAGCCAGAAATGTTGCGAGGCGGGCTTTGGCTTTGTCGTCAATGCGGATGCGGGGCCGCTGACGCGTGGCGGTTTCATTGTTCATGGCAGGATGTTTG